AGATTGATGAACTTTATCTCTTGAATTCCATCTTGTTTCATTTTCTCTTGTTGCATAATATCCCCCATAATCATATATTATGATTTTTCGATGGTTTTTATTCATTGTGGCCTGAAATAGAATAGGATAACTAACATTATAATCTCTGTCGTGTTCATAGTTATACCAAGTTATACCAAAGAGTACCATTTGTACTACAAGTTTTACCATTATAGTTATACCAAGTTGTGCCCGAATAGTTAGACCAAGTTCTACCAGTTGTCCTACAACGCACTACTAAATTCAGAATACATTCATACGATTCAATTCAATTGAACTGTTACAATGCACACATTCTGAGAAATAGTCTACCCAATTCGACTCATATCCCTAATTGACAATGAGGATAAGAAAAATTGGATCAAATCCAAATCTACAATGTTAATAGTTCAATAGGGAACAAATACAATCCACAACATTATGATTTTTCATGCCAACGAGTTTAGAATTTAACAATGGATAAGAATTACCTCAGTTGTTGGGTTGCTTCTCCTGTTAATGAGAGAGACGATGGAGTTAAATGGAAGAGGAGCTCGATCGTGGTTGAAGATGAAGAAGAAATCGGACAAATCGTGGATGGAGATGAAGAAGAGGAGAAGAGAGAAGATGGTGGTGGAGTGGGGTCCGCGTCCATTTTCTTTTTCCTTTTTTATTTAATTAAATCAATCAATAAGAAGGGGCAAAATTTGTCTTTTATTTAGTCAATATAAGTCAAGGGGTACTTAGAACACACAAGGGTAGGCAAGTATATAAATTATGGTCAAAGGGCACAAGAGATTCAAGTCCTAAGTTTGATTGATTACAAGTGCTAGAGCATCATGAAGAGTGTTTAGAAATTTGGAGAAAGACTTGTTGAAATTTGGTCCCAAATGGGCTAAGAACTCGAAAACATTGTGTTGAACCACTAAATGGCTTGTTTAGTTTTCTTTTGGGTTAGAACAGGTTAGAGTACATTAAATTTGATTGATTACAAGTTCTAGAGATGCATGAAGAGTGTTTAAGAGAGTGTAGAAAGACTTG